GCGCACAGCGCCGCACGCGGCCCCGAAAGAAATGCCGGTAGCGTGCAACCGGTTGTAGCAGACGGCGGAGGAAACTCAAGAGCGGGCGAAGGCAGTTTTTGTTGTGTTCGTCCGTTTTTTTTTATCGTTCCCCATCTCAGGGTTTACAAGATGACGATTGATTACCAGCTCGCCTGCACTCTCTCACTGCTTACAATTCTACTACCTGAAGCAGGTTTCGTCTTCCCTTCTCCTTCTTTTGTGTCAAACCTTCCACCACCTTCTCAACGAGCCTTGGCGTTTTTAACGCTGTGCAAGATCGGTCAGCGACTGAGAGGCGAGTGACTGTGTTTCTCCCTCGCTCGCTGTCTTTCCCGCTCTCTCGCTCTCTTCACTGTCATGTGGTAGACGCCAGTGTGGCGAAATGAGCAGCCCCAGTTCATGTTAACTCTATTCTCTGAAATCGGAGTTTCCGATGATTGCATTCATTTCAACTCCCGGGAATTGAGAGTCGGGCCAACTCCTACTCCCACAATGGCTGAACCGTTCCATGCCATTCCTCTTATTTAGAGCCGTGAAATATGGGGCTTGACAGCTGCACTAAAAAAAAAAAAAAGTGTGTTTTTTTTTTTTTTTTATTTAACAGTTTGATTGGGATACGCATGTCAAAAAATTATTTTTACGCAAAAAAAAAATTAGAGCAATATTGACGGCGCGAGATTTATTTTTAGTTCTGCACGCAAAGTCCACGATGTCACAGAATGTTCATACACCCTCTCCGCCTCAACGTGATGGCCAAGCCTATCCACCTCTCCTCCACGCGCCCGCAATGCCGAGAGAGAAAAAGAGTGGAAAGGGGGTGACGACCGACTAAATCGCTTCCCGCACCGTCAATATTGGTAAAAATAACTTTGTTTTTTCCTAAATTAAATTTTTTGACACGCGTGTCCCATCCAGACTGTTTAAAAAAAGTATTTTTTTTTCTTTTCAGGGGACCTGAGCTGTGCAACAATTTTAGCGTTGAAAGAATTGGCATCTTCTACTTTTGACATTGTTCATCTTTTCGCTAAGGACAGAAAACACACCTCCTTCCTTCGAAGTGTTTGCGATTCCGCCGCGTAATCGCGAGGCAAAAATTCGAGTATCCCCCGACCTGCAGCCGCGAGCGGCGGCCATGAGAACCACGCGGCATGACGTCAATGGGGGTCTTGTAGAAAGATAGCAAGTTGTGCGAATACCTGCTCGATAAAAAGTAACTTTTCTCTAAATCTTGTCATTTCAACATAAATATAAATGCGTCAAAAACCTGTTATCATCGACAAACCTTTAATTATACGGAGGTGTAGTGGCGCCATCTATTCCTAGGTCCACAAAAACCGTAAGCTCTATCTGCTACTGCGAACACCCGCCAGAAGCCGGAGGGGGAAGGGGACTGGGCCGGACGGGTATGGCCGGACCCGGATGAGACTTACCTCCTTTCGCCATATTGTTCGCGCTGGGCCAGCACGTGGTCACGCGGTCGCGAGCGGATGAGTCCTCGCTGCTCACTGATGGCTCTAGAGAGAGACAGCTTCACCGGAAACACGCGTGACGTCACAGCGCACGTGACTCGGAAGATGATGAAGGAGTTGAGAGGTGACGAAAACTTCAACTCTGTCCAATTTTAAAACAAAAACTAGAGCATACAGGCAAAAGTGGTTTTTTGTTCTTTACTTCAAAAAAGTCGAGACACCAACTTCCAAATTATTTAAGCAAAGCACTGAAACTGTTGCACAGCTCCTTTAAAAAACCTCTAAAACGGCAAAAAAAAAATATTTTTCATGTTGGGCGTCAAAATGGTGTATCAGGACATCACCAAAAAATTGTTTTACTTTAGAGTTGCGTAGATTTTTTTTATAAAAATAGAAATACGAAGCCCAATTCAAAGTGCCCGCCAATACCCTGTGACGTAACAATGTACCGCAATAGGTCGGGCGGTCAGAAGGGAGGCATCGCCGGAAGTCGCGTGAGTTGTATCACTCCTCGTGCTTACCGCAACCGCGTGTAATGTTTTTTTTTTTTTGTTTCTTTTTTTTTTTTTATTCTCCGCGAGCGTTCCAAGCAGACAAGGTTTCTTTTATTTGCATTTCATCGCTTAATGTCACTGTAAAGGTAGAAGAAGAAAAGGAGTCAGTGAATTGACGTGTCCTGCAGCAGCGAGGCTTGAATTCCGGCAGCACGACGCATCGGCTACATGTGCACATAGTAAACAAGTTCTACTCGTGTTCTAGACAAAACATGTACTTCATGCTCGACGTTTACTTGTACTTAGTACACTCACTGTTCGTATTCTCTAGACGGCAGGCATCTTCAGTCTGGAGAGTATCCGATGATTCGACGACCTCGGTGTCTGAACCTTCAGCAATGCGATCGGGCGTGTTGTCGTATGCTAGCAATCCTAATTTCTGCAAGCGTTCTAATCTTTTTTTTTTTTTCAAAACTCGATAGCTTGTTTTAGATTTAGTATGGCTCTGTACCACTGAACTGATGGCATGCACTCGTACACTGGCTCGTACTCGCAACGCTTTCATCATTGACCATCACGTCAATCCACTGACTCTTCGTCCTCAACTTTTACAGCACGCAAACTAATCAATTCAACGGTGCAGCAATAACAAACTAATGGAACTGAAACTTTGTTTTCTACGATCGCTCGTAAAATAAAAAAAAAACTCTTAGGCACGGTTGCAGAGAGCACGAGGAGTGAAACTCACGTGACTTTTAGCGAACCCATTTTTAGTGACGTAGGTCGATGCCTGGATGGACAGATGGATGGATGAATGCGGCTGAGCCCTTTGGATCGGGCGGTAGCTTATGCCACCTAGCCATTTTGTTTTGCCATTTAGGCTTAGAATATTTAAATGTGAAATCTATATTCACTCCGCACTGCAAAGAAAGTGAGGCTATAAAAAACCCCTTGCCATCAGTTAATAAGAGAATACCTAGTTTTCTCTCGATTTCTGCCACCATTCACTTAATCTTTCCTTGGTAATCTCTACAGTCTTGAAATCCACTCTCCCTTCGCTGTATCTAAAACCCAATGACCTTTTTAAATCTATGTTGTCTTCGGTAGGCATAGGGTGAAGCCCTTTACAGTAGAGTATCAAGTGCTCAGCCGTCTCGTCCTCCTCTCCACAAGCAGTGCACACTGCATCCATTTCCTGGTACTTCACTCTGTACGTTCTGGTTCGCAGAACACCCGTCCTCGCCTCAAACAACAATGAGCTTCCCCTAGAATTGTCATAAATGCTTTCTTTGGCAATAACTGTTTTGTTTAATCTAAAGCTTTCCAGAGCCGTCTTTGTCTGCATTCCCTCTAGCCACCGTTCTCTTCCTGTGGCCTTGACTTTCTTCTTAACTGAGACTTGTTCTTCCGTATCTTCACTATAGCCTAAAAACTTTCCTCTTAATTTCCTAGTGCGCTGTCTCCACTTTGTGTCTACACTCCTCATGTATAAATAGCTGAAAACCTTTCGTGCCCATTGCTCCCCATCCATTTGCCTCAACCTATCCTCAAATTCTATCTTGCTCACCGCTTCCCTGCTCTCAAATGACGCCCATCCCATGTCTCCTTGTACTCCCTGGTTTGGCGTTTTGCAATGTGCCCCCAAACGCCCATTTCATACCTCCCTTCTGACCGCCCCGACACCTTGCGGTACACTGTTACGTCACAGGGCACTGGCGGGCACTTTGAATTGGGCTTCGTATTTCTATTTTCATTTAAAAAGAATATCTACGGAACTCTAAAGTGAAACAATTTCTTGCTGATGTACTGATACACCATTTTAACGCCTAACATTACATTTTTTTTGGCGTGTCAGTGGTTTTTTTAAGGGCGGCACCTATCTTCTTGAGTTTATTATATGATGTAGAGCCATTACGAGCATGGCATTATTTTAGTGCACGTTTATTTTTACATATGCGTTTCCGTAATTCAGAGTTTATTCATGGTTTATCCTGACGACGCTTCGAGGTAATAATTCTTGACGGAACAAACGTGTCAACAAGAGTTTTAACTCTGTTCATAAATATCATCCAGAGAAAGTTAACGTCCCTTGCTTCGCTCATTTGCTCAAACACCGGGTAAAATACATCAAGATTGCTAGACAAACCAGCATAATCACCCCTGTCAAACAAATAATATTTTTTAAGGCGTAAGGAAGCTCTGCAATCAGAAGAACGGGACAGATTTGCGATTCCAGCCTTATGGTCACTTATACCAAGGATAACGGCAATACCAGAGACGTCCATAGCACGATTACTAAACACAAGGTCGAGAACGCTTCAACGACTAGAACCGATCCTCGTGGGTTCTGTAACAAACGGATGGAGATCGTAGTCATTGACAAGATTAACAAATGCTGAGTATATACCCGTACTGTTAGAAGTAGACGGCTTGAGATCCGTCCAATGAATATCAGGTAAATTAAAATCACCGCCAAAGAGAAAAAAATTCTGCGTCTATCACAGATAAAGTCTTATACAACGAAAAAATAGGGTGGGTGTTGCTTGACGGCGTTAATGGAGCAGCGTTTGCAAGAGACGTCCAAAACGTCCAGGCCAGGTACAAAACATGGCTCGCGAACGTAAAAGCCTTCGGAACGACGTACCTTAGCGTAGCTCAGTTGGCCAACGAGACACCCAGAATATCAGAAAACAACTGGCTCAACGCCATCAACCTCAACCTTCTGAATTCAATTTCCGCCGAAACGGTCATCTACGTATACGAGTCACAAGGACTCTACCTCGTCAACAAGCTCATGGAGGAATACAAGGACAACCCCAGGCCGGCTGCGAATTGGATCACAATGTACCTCCATTACTACTTTGCAGGCGCGAGTTCCTACCGGCTCCCTAAGCTATTCATCGCCTACAAAGACAGGTGCTTAACTTAAGTAAGGAATGTCGCTCCACACGCACTCAACGTTCTCTTAACTCAACTCATCGTGTCCACCGATGATGTGCAAACTGCGAAGCACATAATGACTAAAATCAGAAATCTTTTCCCCAAATTTTACAACTGGACCGACACTGAATCCAGACAGCTAGCTATGAAACGACTGAGCGACATCCTTGTTATCCTGGGCATTGCAAGGAAATTTTACTCTCCCGTGGTCATGGAGAAAGAATACCGTTACTTGCCCGTCTTCGAGGGACCCTTTCTGCAGGACCTCCTCCAAGCCTTTAAGAACAGGGCGGAAGTAGAACTCTTCGCGTTCGCCCACGGGACAGGCAAGTTGGAGCGGGACGCGTCCGTCTTTACGGAACTAGGTCAATACGGGAATGCTTTCTACACCCCTCACTTGCATACCGTGTACATACCGTCGGTTATATTGACAGAGCCGTTCGTGATGTTGGACTCGCTCGTGGCCACCTACGCCCTCCTAGGAACCGTACTGGGACACGAGATCTCGCACGCCTTTAGCCCGAAATCGGTGGACCTACTGGCGACCGGTATTCGGAGGAGATGGATGACCAACCGAACATGGCGAGACTACAGCGCGCGGCTGGACTGCATCATCGACCTGTACCACCAGCCCTCCTTCGTCAGATACGCCCGGTTAACTTTGGACGAAAATTATGCCGATGTAGCGGGCATGGAGATGGCTTTTGCAGCCATGAGGAGCGACCCGTGCGTCAAGCCCGACGCTCCGTCTGGAATAGAGGGACTCAACAACATGCAGCTCTTCTTCGTGGCACATTGCTACATGTACTGCACATCGAACAATCCACGAACTTACTTTTACGATGGCTATGCTGCCAATTACCACAGGTGCATCAATGTCATCAGACTTTTTAGGGAATTCATGGATGCGTTTAGATGTGTTGCACCACAAAACAAACAATGCGTACTACTATAGAAATTAAGTACGTTTGCTTCTTTGTTTAAGAATTGCCTCTGGGTTTGAAATACACACTGTATACTATAGGAGAAACATAAACATGTAGACGCTTTGCACACGCGCCGGATTACAGCCGCCATTGTTGACCTTCTCACGTCTTACTCAGATGGGACGCCAGTGAAGCGGGCGTTGACGAGATTCCCCAAAGGCGAATGCTGGTTTGAAGGACACAGTAGAATCTACAATGGCAATAACCTGTCCTTCTGTAGTAATGGTTAGAAGTAGGCGGAATAATAGGAAACAAAAACTGAAGGTCGGTTATGGCGGCGCCCATGTACAGCTGCTGCAAAGCGTTAATACCTTCCGAAGATACATTAAAGCAGTGTTACCGTAATACCGTAACCGCCATACCGAAACCGGACTCAGGTAGCGAAAAAAAGGTGTTTTAATTAAATGGAATTTTATACCGAGATTTATTTTGTTCCGATGGTTCAATGTAAGATGAAGTTGGCTAAAGGAGATATCCAAACAGGATACGTTTTTTGCAGTCACAGCAACTGCTGTACCATTTGCTGGACATTTTCCTCCAGTGCCCATCCTCTTTCGGACATTTTTTTTTTATTTCTTTGCAAGAGAAGGTTATTTTTTGCTTCCCTCTTTAGAGGCTTTGAGCGTGCTCTCATCTCGTGGGTCTGTACAGCCTCTCACAAGCTCTGTTATAGTCGGTTACAGGTCAAGAAGGTAGGAGAAGCTCCTCCCATAAGCGGTGATGCGCCTGTTTCAAATCTCTCCGCAGTCGAAAGAAGAGTTCACTGGAAACGCTTTTTGTTCCGCTTCAATGGATTCCAACTTGTCTCCGATCCCACTTTTCCCGAAAGCGACCTTTGTATTCATTGAAGGGGGAACCGAGCCCCTGAAAGCAGCCTTTGTATCCATCGGAGGGGGGAAGCTAATCCCCGAAAGTCGTATTGGTTTCCGTCGGTGGGGTAAAACTCTAATCTCCCTCTCGTGGGTTCCACAATGCTAAGTCAAAGTCGAAAGATAAAGCAAATATGTAAAGAAAGGCAAGACCCTCCTCGCGCGTTGGCCGCGACGTCACGGAAACGGTGGGACGCTATTGGATGCGGAGGTCGCAGAGGGATATCTGATTCCCTTTGAGGGGCATTTGCCGCTACCTTCTTAACCTGTAACCCTGCCACTCTTCTTAGTCCCTCCCCAACCTCTCGAAAGCTGTGTCGTTTGCGTGGTTGATGTCCTCACTGTAAAGGTAAGCGTGCGCCGCAACCTTCACGTTTTTCAAAAAAATGTGCACGCATTTTTTTTTGTTTGTTTGCCGTGCATGGCAAATGCCGTGCACGACATTTGCTGTGTTCTGTTTGGACGACCCTTTAAGTGCTTTCTTCGCGGTACGTTCTTGGTCCGGTTCCGCCATGGAGGTAACGGTACCGGCACTATACTAACTATGGGCTAGAACGTTTCATTTTAAAGAATGTTCTGTTATACTATGTATACTGAATGCCGATGTACATTAACGTTTATATTAAAACAATGTGATTTCCATACGCAGGGTTCGGACCTCTAGCGTTACCTTTCGGCGAAGAATGAGCGTTCGGCCATGCATAGTTTATTTTTGCAATGGAAAAAAAACTATTTTTTATGGGGGGGGGGGGGGGGGGGGGGGCACCATGTACATTATAAACCAAACAAGTCCCAAGACAAAACCTTGAGGTATGTCAGATGAGACCGGCGAAGAAGTGATGCATATGACCGTCAATTTCAACATACTGATTACTGTTTGAGATCAGGACCAGTATGAAGTAATGTTTCAGCCAATTTCGAGTGGGCGACCCTGTCGAACGCTTTAGGTAAGTCGGTGGACATAACATCCACCTAACCGCGATTATTCAGCACGCTTCCAAACTGGTGACTTGACTCAAATAGCTGAGTAGAAGTTGACAGTGTTTTACAAAAATCATGTTTGCTATACAAATATAATATTATTTTACATGTGCTCAACAAGCCCTTTGCAAATTAAGTTCTCGATCATTTTACAAAATGTCCATGTCAACAATATATCGTTCTCTAGTTCACTTCAAGACGATTCCCCAGTTTGTGAACAGGTACAACTTTAGCGGTTAACCACTCATCTGGTAAGTGGCATTGATTTAATGACGCCTGAAAAATAACAGTCATGAACTTAGCTACTCATTCACAATAACGCCTCAAAAATTCGCTAGGAATTTTATCCGGTCCGGCCGATTTGTATACGTCAATATTTTAGGAGAAGCGTCCGTATTATTTTAGCAGAAATTTGAACAGTGTTTGCTGAACTGTTAGGTTCGTCCTCAGAAAAAAAAAAAATATTTACAGATGTGCTAGCTGTGAAAACTGAATAAAACTAACTGTAAAATATCTGTGAAAAAAAAAACTGTAAAAATAGTTGGGAAAACGACGAGAAAAAAGGCCATCTTAAAAGTTCAATAAAATATTGTTATGTGTTTTGTTTATCAGCATAATGATGCATGCTGAATATATTACAAGAAAAAGCATGATTCTGCCGAATATCATTCTTGAGGTACACCCAAAATCGTACCCCTACATACCTTGCGAAACCAAAACTAAAAGTTTGGGTTGCATATAGATATAAAAATAATAAATTTTACTAAATTATTAGTCTTCTTTTTGTTATTTTATTTGGTTGATAATATTAATAAACATCTGTGAACATTTATAGTATGTTACTATTTTTAATAACTAAACAGGAAGGCAAAAAAAATACTGATATGCTCATTGCCCGCTTTCAAAACTGCTGTGAAATTGCTATCAGAGCTAATATAGGAGGTCTTTCAGGAATGTAGCAGGTCACACTGGCTGGTTATGTTCTATTGCAATTCCCAAAACGACCATTGAAGGAACGGGCTGCGCCCTACTAGGCTGGATAGTTGGTTTTAACCGAGACCAGGTTGGGAGATCTACAAGCATTAGGTACAACCTTCCAATAAGGTTCTCAACAAGGAGAAGGCTGACCTGTGCTCAGACGAGTTCTTGCATCGGAAAACGTGGAATGCCAACTAGTGTTTCAAATCGATATGATCGGGCGGAACTTTTCTAAAGGTGTTTACGTAGGCCTACCAATATTCAAGTTTTATTTATTTCAGGTTACCCCGCAGCGCCAGAGGCATAATATACAGGGGGGTTTATTTTCGCGAAAACAAATATACGATACCCATATGTATAAGAAAATGCCGCCTGTATACCGCCGCTGGTTACTGTATTTCAACATTGGGAACAGAAGCACGCTTGACATCCAGAAGCACATTGGAATCAAACCTCGTCTATACACAATTAAAACTTTCCTAACAGGCGATCCACACCATATTGCGAAAACCTCCCCCCAATCTACTCACATGCCGCAAAACAGAAAAAAAATCTGATTGTTACACAAACAAACAAGTAAAAAAAAGAAAGACTAAGGAGAAGTCAAACTATATATGAGGTGATGTTTCGAAGTTTCTTTTTCGGAACCCACTTTTTTTTTTTTCTTACGCAAACATGCGCAGCTTTTTTTCTACAGAAGATTTTTAACGAAACTTTGCAGAGTTATTTCTCGTATATCTAGGTGTAAAATGAACTAAATGAATTATACAGTGTGAAAAAAGCAAAGTAAAATCAACGTAAGATATTGGTAAACAAAGATAAGCACGGCACTCAAAGTGCAATGGCGGAACCAATGTCAGCAGACTTGACTAGCCAAAAACTTTTTGTAATTTTTAATTAGGGGCTAAGGAGTTGAAGCGAAGTGTTGTTTTCCTCTCTTTTTAATCGCGTTTACATGAATGCGACTTTAGCCCATCAACTACAGTTATTGCATTCAAAGCGGCAATACGTAAATGGCATAATCCGCTTGAGAAGCGCATTGTGCCGTTTACATCGGATTATATGCCGCACGCTGCCCGTTGCCAGAGTTCTTTATCCTCAATGCGTACAAACCGCGCCCCTAATCGCTTCTGGAAAAGTATCCCAAGCAGGGGTTCGGCGCGCGGTTCGATGTATCGAATGTACCGGGAAGTGAAGGTCGATACAGACTCGCAACGAACAGCAGGGGGCGCTTCTCTAGCTATCATCATCATCGCTTGTGACATCACGGGTAGGACAGGCTGGGACAGGCCGCGCAGATCTTGTATCCCTCGGCTTGTCAGCTCGTTTCATGCGCTGTTTGGGTAAAGGCTCGTTCACACACTTGTGACCTCTTAGAACCGGGTCTCTTGGAACCTCTTAATATCTCTTACAACAAGAGGACACACTGGCGCCATCTATTGGGTAGCAGTGTAAACTTGGCGGTCCGGCATATTTTCTATTTCTCTCGCGCAATAACCCTTTTTTTCTCGGCTCGGAAAACTCTTGTTAACGTTGTACACGATCCTTTCTCATAGGTATTACGCACATTTGACCTCGGGCATCCCGCAGAACCTTCGCTCTTGTGAAATGCAGTTCCAAGGTCACCGCATAGATGACATAGACAGTGCCAGCGTGACAGTGTATTCTCTCGTTTTAACGGTGTGGTGCAATGATTTTAACACTGAACGAATGTGCAGCTTGTATTTTTTATATTGTTTACTTCGGCATAAGTAAGAGAAAAAGTGCTACCATACCCCAAAATACCTCTATTTTGCTGCGTAATCGCAAAAGAAAAAACCCTTTTTTTCCCATCCTGCAGCCACATGGTGGCCGCAAATGGAACCTGTGCTGTGACGTCATTCGGAGTGTTTTTTGTAAGTGATAGTGTTAGGTAATTGTAAGCGTGATTTAAGGTTAAGTTTAAAAAATCTTGTTGTTTAGGCATGCAGAAACGCAACGGCAACAACAAAATGGCCGTACGTACAGGTTGCCGCTCGTCTCACAGCATTTTTGCCGTTTTCTTGCTGCTGTCGCTCGTCACCTACCGTGCCTCCACCTGTATCTCTCCTCCGAACAGCGTGGGCCTTCGCGGTCTCGGTTTGTGTGCCGCCACCGCGTCC